TTTATCAGATTAGTTCACAGTATAGAGTTCGAGTAGTCCAATAATGGCTGCACCACACTGGACAGGCTGAGAATACTCAGTCCATGAGGCTGGATGTCTCAGTAGTTCCAATCTGGCACTGAAGGTCTGATGAATTCCAAAAGACTGGGTGGTCGTCAGTCTAGAGCAGCAAGACAAACCCACCAGCGAGAGAGAAGGCAAGTGGCAAAAAGCCAGTGCTCTCCTCTGCTATGGCCTTTTATATGGCTGCCATCAGAAGGTAACACCCGCATTTACGGTGTGTCTTCCAGCTTCAGACAATCCAGTCAAGAAGACCTCTCTCATTTCAGTTAATCCCAGATGCAGTCGACACCCAGGACTAGCAATCACAAATACATTAGCCTTTACAAATCTTAGGCAATTTATGAGAAATGTGGCCATCATCTCCAACAGCTTGAGAGCCATTTACTTACTCAATTTCTGCCTGGAATGAAGTGGAACCACTATACATTATCTATAAATAGACAGTGTAAGCTGTATGGCACTAATTAAACTAGTCAGGTGTTTTCTTTTTCCCAGTTAACTATTTATTTAATAACCACATACTTTTAATTTGCATTTCCCTAATTATTAGTGATGCTGAACATCTTTTAAGATGAATCATAACCCTCTTTACTTCTTCTTTTGAGAACTCTCTGTTCAGCTCCATAGCCCATCTTTTAACTGGGTTACTTGCTTTCTTGATTATTTGTTTTTTGAGTTCTTTATATATTCTGGATGTTAAACCTCTATCAGATGTGTCGCTGGTGAAGATTTTCTCCCATTCTGTGTGTTTTCACTTCCTTGGCTGCCCCCTTTGATGTACAGAAGCTTTTTGGTTTAATGAGGTCCCATTTGTTGATTCTTCACCTTGTTTCCTGAGCAATTGATATCCGGTTTAGATAATTCTTTCCTACACCTACATCTTGTAGGTTTTTCTCAATGTTTTATTCTAACAGTTTCAGAGTTTCAGGCTTTACATTGAGGTTTTGGATCCATTCGGAATATACTTTTGTGCAAGGAGAAAGATAGGGGTTTAGTTTCATTCTTCTACAGGTGGAGATCCAATTTTGCCAGCACCATTAGCTGAACATGCTGTCTTTCCTCCAGGGAATGTTCTTAGCCCCTTGGTCAAATATCAGGTGGCTGAAATTGCATGTACTCATATTTGGGTCTTCAATTTTGTTCCATTGGTCTATGGGTCTATTTTTGTATCAGTACCATATTGTTTTTATGACTATAGCTCTGTAATACAGCTTAAAATCTGGTATAGTAATCCCCCTGGTATTGCTCTTAGTGTGCATGGTTGCTTTGGCTATCCGAGGTCTTTTTTGCTTTCATATGAATCTTAGGATGGCTTCTTCCAATTCTGTGAAAAATGTCATGGGGATTTTGATCGGCATTGCATTGAACCGATATATGACTTTTGGTAGGATGATCATTTTCACAATATTAATGCTTCTAATTCATGAGCATGGGCGGTCCTTCCATCTTCTGATATCTCCCTCAATTTCTTTCTTTAAAGATTTAAAATTTTCATTGTAGAGCTCTTTAATGTCTTTGGTCAGGTTTATTCCAAGATATTTTATTTTTTTGCAGCTACTGTGAACGGGATTGTTTCCATGTGCTCTTTCTCTGATTGCTTGTTATTGGTATATAGGAAGGCTACAGACTTTTGCAGGTTAATTTCGTAACCTGCCACTTTAGTGAACGTGTTAATAATTTCTAGGAGTTTTCTGGTGGAATTTTTGGCATCTCTTAGATATAATAACATCTGCAAGAAGGGATAATTTGATCTCTTCTTTTCCAATTATTACTCCTTTAATTTCCTTCTCTTGTCTTATTGCTCTTGCAAGAGTTTCAAGCACTATGTTAAAGAGAAGTGGAGATAGTGGACAGCCTTGTCTGGTTCCTGATTTCAATGGGAATGCTTCCAGTTTTTCTCCATTTAGAATGATGTTGGCTGTGGGTTTGTTATATATGGCTTTACTTATGTTGAGGTATGTTCCCTCCAGTCCAATTCCCTCCAGGACTTTGAACATAAATGCATGTCGAATTCTGTCAAAGGCCTTCTCTGCATCTACTGAGATGACCATGTGGTTCTTGTGTTTGAGCCCATTTATATGATTTATGACGTTTATTGACTTAACGTATATTGAACCATCCCTGCATCTCTGGGATAAAGCCGACTTGATCATGGTGGATGATCTTTTTGATGTGTGTCTGTATGTGTTTTGCAAGTATCTTGTTGAGAATTTTTGCATCTATAGTCATTAAAGATATGGGTCTATAGTTTTCTTTTTTTTATTTTTCTTTTTCTCTTTTTGTATCTTTACCTGGCTTTGGTATTAGAGTGATGCTGAGTTTGGAAGTTCTCCCTCCATTTCTATTTTTTTGAATAAATTAAGTAGTGTTGGATGTAGATCTTCTTTAAATGTCTGATAGAATTCTGCTGTAAATCCATCTGGTCCTGGGCTTTTTGTAGGTGGGAAGTTTTGTATTACTGTTTCAATTTCTTTTTCTGTTATGGGTCTATTTAAGCTGTTAATTTCTTCTTGGTTTAGTTTTGCTGGTTCCCAAGCCTTTAGATATCTGTCCATTTCTTTTAGGTTTTCAAATTTAGTAGCACATAGGTTTTAAAAGTATTCCCTTATAATGTTCTGTATGTTTTTGGTGTCTGTTGTGATGTTTCCCCTTTCATCTCTGATTTTGATTTGGAGTTCTCTTTCTTTCTTTTGGTTACTTGAGCTAGCACTCTGTCAATCTTGTTTATCTTTTCCAAGAAACAGCTCTTGTATTTGTTGATTCTTTGTATTGTTTTCTTTTTGATTTCATTAATTTCTGCCCTGATTTTTGTTATTTCTTCTTGTCTGCTAAGTTTATGTTTCGTTTCCTGTTGCTTTTCAAGTGTGTTGAGTTGCAATGTTAAGTCATTTATTTGTGTTCTTTCTGATTTTTTGATGTAGGTACTTAGAGCTATAAACTTCCTTTTAAGGACAGCTTTCAGCATGTCCCAGAGGTTTTGTTGTGTTGCATTGCCCTTTTCATTTAGTTCCAGGAATACTTTTATTTCCTTCTTAATTTCTCTTTTGATCCATTCATCATTCAGGAGTGTGTTGTTTAATCTCCATGTGTTCATGTGGTGACTAGGGCTTCTTCCAGTGTTGATTGTAAGCTTTATTGCATTGTGGTCTGAGAGAATGCATGGAGTTATTTCAATCTTTTTGTATTTGTTGAGGTTTGTTTTGTGCCTTCTGGAGAAGGTTCCATGGGGTGCTGAGTAGAAAGTATGTCCTTTGTTGCTTAGGTGGAATACTAGGTAGATGTCTGTTAGTTCCATTTGATATATGGTATTGTTTAACTCAGATGTCTCTCTGTTAATTCTCTGCCCTGTTGACCTATCTAATGGAGACAGTGGGGTACTGAAGTCCCCTACTATTAATGAGTTGGGATTAATCTGGGTCTTAAAGTCCTGTAGTATTGTTTTTATGAAGTTGGGTGCACCAGAGTTTGGTGAATATATGTTCATGATTGTAATATCTTCTTGATTTAGTGTTCCTTTGATCAGAATGAAGTGGTTCTCTTTATCTCTTCTGATTAGTTTTAAAGTCTATTTTGCCAGATATTAGAATTGCAACGCCTGCTTTTTTCTTAGTACTATTCGCTTGGTATTTTTTCTTTTTCCATCCTTTCACCTTAAGATAGTGTCTGTCCTTGCAAGTGATGTGAGTTTCTTGCAGAAAACAAAAAGATGGGTTTTGTTTCTTAATCCATTCACCTAGTCTGTGTCTTTTGACTGGGGAGTTCAGTCTGTTAATATATAAAGTTTTTAATGAAAGATGAATATTGACTCCTGTCATTTTTATTTCTGTTCACATTCTTGATATAGCTGTACTTTTCCACAGTTATATCCTCATTGAATTTCTTACCACAACCCTTTGGGCACAGTCACTCCTTTCTTCAGCTCCAGAACTCTCTGAAGGGCTGGTTTTGGGGACATGAATTCCTTCAGCCTGTTTATGTCATGGAAGATTTTTCTTTCCCCTTTGACTATAATAAGACATTTTGGCTGGGTATAGTAATCTGGGTTGGCATCTGTGGTCATTTACAATTGGGAATACTTTGGTCCAGGCTCTTCTGGCTTTCATAGTTTGAACTGAAAAGTCAGCTGTAATCCTGATGGGTTTTCATAAAAAAGTTGTTTCTCTTTTGCAGCTTTCAGAATTTTCTCTTTGTTTTGTGCATGTAGTGTTTTTACTACGATGTGCCGTGGAGAGTTCCTGTTCTGCCTGGTCCTGTTTGGTGTTCTATATGCTTCTTGTATTGTATGGGCATGTCTTTCTTTAATTTTGGGAAATTTTCTTCTACAATTCTGTTCAAGATCTGGTCCAGGCCATTACCTTGGGATTCTTCTCCTTCCTGTATGCCTATGATTCGTAAGTTTGGTCTTTTTATGGTGTCACACAATTCCTGCATATTCCGTTCTTGTGCTTTCTTAAGTTTTTCATAATCTTTGCTTGAGTGGTCTAGTTCATCCACTTTATCTTCCAGTCTTGATATTCTGTTTGTAATATCATGTTTGTAATTGTTCTTTTGAGTTCCATTCCCTGAATTATCTCTAGGGGATTCTCACTGTACTCCTCTAGAGGACTATTGGTATTTGGTGGTGATATGGTATTTTGGTTTTCCATGTTATTATTTTTTTCTCTGTGATTTTGACATGTGAATTTCTTTTGTAGTTTCTGATTCTTGTGTGAGACTTCAAGTCTTCAAGTTTAGGTCTGCTTCTTTTCATAAACTTTATGTGCCTTTGTGGTTTACTTTCTGGGCATGAAATGCTGGTGCCTCTAAACTTCTGGTTCTCTCACTTGATTTTATATTGTCCTGGCCAGATTGCTTTTGTCTTCAGGAGTTCCCATAGAGGCCCAAGTCAGATGAGGATTAGATGTTCTCAGGCTTTCTCCTAAGGTCTGGATCCCTCCAGGAGAGATTTTGGTTTCAGGAATTTGGGGGTTGGACTGGCCGGGGAACCAGGCCCAGGAAAGATGCTGGTCTAGGGCAGCTGGTGGCCGTACCACCCAGAGATGCAAAGGGAGATGCGAGCGGGAAGAGGTCCCAAAGGGCTTCTGGGAATTGCACTGAGGAGATGGGTTGGTCTGGATGCAAAGGATCAGGAAGCCAAAAGGTCAGCCCCTGTCCAGGAAAGAGGCTGTTGGGTTGTGCAGCCCAGGGAATTAGCAGGAGGTGAGGGTGCGACCAGGCCCAGAGGACTCCTGAGGACCTCGAGAAGGAACTGGGTTTGTCTGGATGCAAGGGATCAGGAAGCAGTGGTGGCCCCTGGCCAAGAGGTCAGCCCCAGGGAGTCCAGGAAAGGGGCTGACAAGCTGTGCAGCCCAGGGAAGCAGAGGGAGGTGAGGGTGGAACCAGGCCTAGAGGGCTCCTGGGGACCGTGAGAAGGAACTGGGTTGGTCTGGA